GATACACGGGATCACAGGACCGCATTTCAAGAAAGGCGACGAAGTATGGCTTGAAGGGAAGAACCTCAAGAACAATTACCCAACAGCCAAGCTGGCACCAAAGCGATTCGGGCCGTTCAAGATAGAAGACGAAGTAGGAACCGGTGCATTCAAGCTGAAACTACCCAGGACATGGAAGATACATCCTGTGTTTCATGCATCGCTTCTAACACCGTACACGCGGACGAAAGAATACGGCGAGTCACACCAGAAACCGCCACCGGATCTCATAGACGGACAAGAAGAATATGAGATAGAAACGATCACCAAATCAAGACGCCAAGGAAGAGGCTATGCGTACTGCGTGAAATGGAAGGGCTATCCTGACTCAGAGAATGAATGGATACCCTTATCGCGCATGGGACATGCTATGGAACTGGTCAAGGAATTCCACAGCAACAACAAAAACGCAGTTGGACCGCCTCAAGAAGCACTCCGGCTTATGGCACTGTACTGTCAAGCTGAGAAACGACGACGAAATTAGCGACATGACTCGGAGAAACGAACGGGCCGATGACTGTCAGGCATGACAAGAAGATAACGAATGAGTCAGACAAGGATGTCTGAGGAGCATAAAAGGGGGGTAGAACAACTCGAAATTTCCAACGACTAGAGCGTTCTGACCCCCACACCCCAAGCACACACCACACTTTTCACTCCTCACTCACCACTCACTTGACATCCAAGATGCCGGCAACCACCCCAACCACGAACGAGACTGGCAACATGACCGTGTCAGTACTCCGAGAGTTCTCTGTCCGTACCGATGAAGCGCAAAAACTAATCGATACGGTTTGGGCAATATACAGAGACTCTATCACCACCCTCCTGAACCGCTACACCATAGCGAAGCAAGAGGGACGACTGGACGACGCGATCGCACATGGACAAGCCGCCCTCGACATTATGGTCGACTGGCGAGGAACAGCCTGGGACCAGGCGAAGAAGCAGATACAGAACGACATCGACGAGATGAAGACGATGCAAATCGATCGGATCGTCGAGGTTACCAATGAGGACAAGACCGAGGTCAAGACCGAGGAAGAGGGTGAGACAGTTTACAACACCCCAGCGACGACACCAACGCTGACATCCGACACTGACGAAGGTGACGGATGGTCCATAGCGCAGAAGAAGAAGAAAGGGAAGCAGGTGCCCCGTCGCAAAGTAAGCAGAGGCAGAACTTTGCAGCAAAAAGGGAAACTTACACGACGAAAGGACCGCGACGAGGTCAGCTCGACGCGAGCGAACGACGGGAACGACGACAAGCCGTTCCCCGCATCCGAGTCCGGATGGCCCGCATCCGCCAATGAACCGATGCCATGGGACACGTGCAGTGAGTCGATAGAAAAAGCAGAAGAAGGACGAATGACCGAGACATATGCAGCACCGCTCGGCTGGTCGCCATTCCGCGACGAAGAAGAGGCGAAGAAGTACGGTGCGACGACGCAGAAGGTCGCCGGTGTCACCTATGTGACATACACCGACGACGCGGTGAAGAAGCTCGACGCCGACAACTGGCCCAAGCCCGAGCCGTACCCCAGCGTCAACTGGGATGAAAAAATTCCCGGCGTATATCCATGCGCCCTGGGAAGGGGTCAGGCCCAACGACCCCGAAGCCGACAAATACTGGGACCTCATTGCCACCGACCACGAGGGGAACGTCATCGACTACAACGCCACGCGACTGAGTGAGTTGCAGCAGATGAAAAACCCTGGCAAGAAGGAGCTGTGGGAGAAGAGGGTGCTTCGCGTTGCGAGCGACCAGTACTGGATAAGGAGGGCAGACAAGGCGGCAGAAGGGAACGCGTCGATGGTAAAGAGGTGCTGGACCTGCGATAGGTACCATGACCTCGGCATGTGCATGAGGAAGGGGCACCCGATCGTAGGCGCACACGTCGACAGCGACGAGTACGTCAGGAATTGTGTCAAGGGCACGATAGCTAACGAGCTGAGGAAGATGCATGGCAAGAGTGGCCAAAACATAGAGAAATGGAGGATCGAGTGGGCAGAAATGCTCAACTATGTCGATCAGTATGGGCGCGCTTGACGGATTCGCGCGCATCTATGAAGATGGCGCCCTAGAGAGGGGATAGTGTCATGAACGCTTAGTAATGACACGCAGAATAGAGTAGAACCTTGTAGAAGGCGCTGGAATGCGCCTGAAGGTTCTAGGACTTGCAGTGACTCAGGTTATGACTCGACTGTGACTCATAAGGAACATTGTAGAATAGTATAGAACGTTGTGGTAGGTACTGGAAGGTTCTAGTACAGTACTTGTATAGTAGTATATAAGACGCTAGCTGAAGTCGATGGACTTCAGCTCGTCCATCTGTTATACACGCCCTTAGCGCTATAACGATTGACGGTTCGGTTACGGCCTTTTAGACTTAAGACTAAGACACCGCTACCTACAACAACCCACCACACTCGACCTAGTGCGTCTAGAGTCCGAACTCTCACGCCTAAGTCACACGACACAGCCTAGACTACAACGACAGACTTTACGCCAAGTCTAACAACCACGACGGTTCGGTACCCGCCTAAGGTACCACGATCTAGGGGTTCTTACACTCCTCGGGGCCCCCATACCCACGGACGTGTCCTTCTTGGTGAGCGCATGGAGCGGTCTGGCG